ACAAGTATGTCTGTCTGTTAAGGCAGACAGTTAATCCCTGTTGCAGACACCTGCTCAGGTATATTAGAGTTTCTTCAACACCCACAGAGCTCACTTATGGTTTATACTGCAACTATCCTAAGCTGACCGGTATGATCAACAGTTAAACGAGGCCAGTATACTCACACTCTCAGTCACAATGACTTGTAACTTTGTGCTAACACAATACACACACTGGTTGATTGATAAATTAGCTCAGCTACAGTATGGCATTGATAATAGTAGAGATAGAAATATATTTTTAATATATATTCAATATTATATAAAATTTTCTTCAAATGTGTTCAGTGTAAGTTTGTTGCATGTTGACATTAAGTAATAGTGCCTATTCATAATGAGTACTACATGTGAATTATGTCTAAAAAATCAGAGGTTGGTGATAGAATTTTTGGCTCTAGATTGCATGCCAGCTGAAATTTGCAAAGCAATTAGACCTTGTAAGCATTCAAACAATGCATTTCAAGATAAGACATAAAAGGAGAACCTTTTATCTGCATTACAGCAATGCAAAAACCACACTGCAGTCAACAAAGGCCACTAATACTGAGAATGCTGAAAACCAATACCACTATACCGGCACCAATTTAGCATCCACAGACTTTTGGCTGTCTCCCAAATTGAAAGAAGTGTTAAAAGTTAACATTTTTAATCCAGTGCCAAAATTGAGGATGCAATAATCAACTGGAAAAAAGTAACTTTCTTCATAGGACAAGAGGTGGTAGCCAGAGAGGACAAGGGAGAGATGAATAGAAATTTTCTTAAAAAAAAAAAAAAGAAAAAAAAAAAACTATGTTGAAAAATAAACTTGTAATTCTGAAGAAAAAAAATTTACTTAAATTTGATACCCATTTTCTTACTCTATCTGGTTTTAAACTTGTTTTATAGGAGTAGATAATTTTAAAGAGAAATTTAATTCATTTTGATACGAGTTCTATTACTCTCTCATGCCTAAAACTTGTTTTATGAGAATATAACTCTTATCAATCAGCCCTCAAGCATGAAATTTAATTGATTTGTTTTTTTTAATAAATTATCAACCCTTTCTGTAAGACAAAAACACAGCAAACTGTCACTTTCCCACAACCATAGGGTTGCCTCTCTATATCTTTTCTATAAATAATTTCATGTGAATTATTCAGATGAGCTCTATGGTACCTAGTGTTTTTTTAATTTAAGCGCAGTCCTAGCCTGGTGTCAAGATCTCATCAATTCACAGTTGTGTTGGCTAGATGTAACTGTAAATTCTATGTTAACAGTTTCTTTTCTCACACTTCTTACTTGTGGAACTCACTTCAGTTTCCATGGATTCCAGTCAACTTTAATCTGCAAAAATTTAAATGCAATGTCAATTGCTATCTACTGTCCTCTTGATTACCCTTTTCTCTTTCTGCTCATTATTATTGTTTCTGTTCCTAATTCTTCCACACCCTGTAACCCCTTGCATCTTAGTGGCTTTACAGCCTTGCTTGAGGTGATCCCAATTAAAAAAAAAAAAAAAAGAAAAAAAAAAGGACAATAATTTAGGACATTGAAAAAATTTTTAATTATTGAACAAATTGTTTACACACAGACTATTGTCCTTATCTTTGTTATCACAACATTTTGGCTATTTTGTTCACCTCTTCGCCCTTCATCAGGTGTATGTAACTCTCGGTAGCCTACAGGGAATTCCAAGTTGAACCCTTTATTTATTCTACAGATGTAGATTGTTCTCATTCTACTGCCGCAGTCCATGTCTAGGGATAATCTCAGTTCTTATTTTTGTTTTGTACTGCTCAGTTATTACTCATCTTGTTTCCACTAAATCCAAGTACACACTGACTAACCTAGGGACTGAACTCACAATTACTACTAATTACAAGACAATAGCCAAAGTGGATTAAAGTGGTTGTTCAAGAATTTGGTGATATATTTATCAATTCCAGGATTGAACTCACAATTAATGTCACAAAATTCATGAACCAACATCTTAATCCACTTAGCTATTGTTTTTTAGTTCAAGTAACATCAACTGCTTTTGATTAATTGATTTTTTTTTTATGGCTTATCAACCCTTTGTGGCTTAAAGCTGAAACAGGTTTTTGATTTTTTTTTTTTTTTTTGCAAGTAAATATTGAATTGACAAATATTTTGACGATAATGATTTTTCCAGACTATTTAACCCATAATTGGGAAGGCAGGAAGCAAATTCATACCTTTCTCAAGTGTATTTGTATGCCAGTAAATGTAATGAACTTGACTGGGATTCAAACTTGGCTCTCTAATTTATTATCCTGAGCCTATAAGCATGAAAAGCTTGACTTTTGCGACCTTGACTTGAATACCAAATAATAGTACTGGAAGTACTCTTGCTATTGAAAGCTTGTAAAAAGATAGATAAACAGATATTTACAAACAAGCTTAGATATAACAAGGCCAGAAGTAAGGGGCACCCAGTAAGGATTGAACTTGCTAGTCAGTTGTAAGTAATCATGTAATTTTTGTCCTTGGCCCAGGTGTAGGCACTCGGGTTCCCCATGATAAACCCAACCTTGTGTCACATCTTGTCTATGTGGGGAGACAAGGGTAAATACCTACTTACAAACAAGTCCCCTATTATGGAAGAGGAGTTGCATTTATGTGATCAACACTCTGAACAAGGCCAATATCACTCAAACCCTCAATCACTTGAGACTTTGTGCTAGCATAATTAGCCAATTTTGTTCACAAGGCTTGGGTCAGGCATTTTCCAAAGATGCCATGCGCTGATATTGTTACCTCCAGACTGATAACACCAAGACTGGCATAAAAGCTTGATATTGGTTTTTATAAATACACTATCACATTAAACCTGACCTTGTGTCACATCCTGTTTCAGTGGGGAGACAAAGGTAAATACCTACTTACAAACAAGTTCCCTATTATGGAAGAGGAGTTGGATTCATACCTTTACTAAGGGTATTTGCATGTAAGTGAATATAATGAACCCAACTGGAATTTGAACTCCACTGATTCCAAGCCACTATGCATTACACCACCCGCACATCTCTATTCATCATGCAACTTTTATGACAGAGTGAGTATATATATATATATATATATATATATATATATATATATCTATCTCTTGTTTTACTATATTAGAAGTTATTGCTGTTAATCTGTTGTGTCTAATTTACAAATTAAACTTAATCATATGTATATATACAAAATTGAATGTGTTACAATCTGCACTTTCAGGCAAGAGTTTTGGAGCACATCCCATGCAGATAAGAAACAATTACTCTATTCTGTTGAAATATTTAATAGATCTCCCAAAATGAATCTATCAACTTGGAGTTACTTTGCATTTCACCTTAATCAATACAATATGAGAATAAAAACAGTTATTAACTGATGTCAACATTTTTTTTTACGGCTTATCAACCTATTGCAGGTTATTTAACGCAAGAAAATAGATGGTGTCCCTAAAAATATACTCACTTTTTTTTTTTTTTTTTACATCATCAGTGTGAATATTTATAAACATGCATTTAATTTGATATTTAATTTAAGCTGTTAATCTTTGTCATCATCACATGCTCGCATTTGAGCATCGGGATCGTCACCTTCTCTCCTTATTCCCTTTCTCCCCTCTGGTGACAGAGATGGTTGTGAAGGCTCAGCCTACTACTGGTAGAAAGTGAAGTCAAAAAAGAGAGTTTGACAAGGCCATTCCTGCGAATTAGATTTTGGTAGACAACTGTGCAATACAGAAGTTCACACACTTGGCCAGTAAGCCAACAAAGATTAATTTTAACCATTAATCTTGTTAGCAAGTCAATAAACCCTGCATTTATTGTCACTTAAAGAGCAAGTACATTTGCCCATTTAGCATCACATCAATGATATATGTTGATAGATAAGTATATTTATCCAGGTTCTCAACTAAGATCATTTTTATGTGGATAGCCCATACATATGCATATGGGTCAAGGACAAAAATTGCCCAGTCCTCATGATGGTGTTGATATTACACTGACCCCCTCCTCACTTAGTGCAATGACAAATGTGTTGCAAGGTTGGAATATTCCATCTGAAATGTGGAGAACAGTTTACTCCACTTCTGTCCAAAAGTGAACACCTGTGACAGGTAAGTATAATCTATGCTGATAGATAAGACAAACCGAATAATTCCAAGGTATTTAGTTTTGGACACTACTTACATCATATTGTTTCATTTAGCCCTTTAGCATTCAACCTGCCCAAATCTGCCCCAGAAATATTGGCTTTCATTGTTCAACCTACTGCAACTCTCTCCATGTATACTCTGCCATAATATATGACAACATCGTCGCAAATAATGCAGGATGTCGTGCAAACAGTGAGACTTTGAGAGCAGATATTCACACTCAAAGTTATTTTTCTGTCCTAAGACTGAAACAACACAAAGGAGATTTTTCAGTACTTAATGATTTTTATACTAACATATAGATGGATGGCCACTGATATCCAAGGATGCCCGTCTACTGGATCGGCTAGCTAATCTGTTGCAGATGCATGCTCAGCCACATTTGTGGCTGTTCAACACCCACATATCCTACCGGTGGTTTGTGATCAGCAGTCTGAACAAGGTCAACATTGCTCAAACCCTTGATCATGATGACTCGAGACTGTGCTAGCATATCTACCAGCAGCTCCCAAAGGGGTACCATCTAATTTTGCTCACAAGGCTTGGGTCAGGCACTTTCCAAATGCCGAGATTGCCTTCTCCAGATTGATAACATTAAGACTGGCATATAAGCTATCTTGATATCAGTGTTTATAAATACACTATCAAAGTGGTTAATGTATGAATTTATTTTGGTACAGCCTATGTACACATATCTAAAAGTTGAATGCTCCAAATTGAAAAAGCCTGCAAACAAAAAATTGGTCTCATAGCAAACAGCACTGTTCTTTTGTTGCCACATATGAACAGAAAAAGCAAAATTCAAATTTACCTGCCATTGACAGTGAGCTACTTCTTTTGATTTTTTCTACCAGATTATCAGCAATGAACTCAATCATATCTCCTTTTTGTACAATTGTCCCATGTGGTAAGCTTCGAGAGAGGTCACTGTCTGCCGAGCTGAGTGCATCGAGCGTTGGGTCCTCTACTGAGCAGTGTCTCTTCTTGCGCTCGTTGTTCTGAATGGGCACAGGGAGGGACAGGGAATGCGGGTCGAGCTTTTGCTGAAAGTCCAGTTTACATGCCCGTAATAAGTCCACATTTGAGATCCCGTTTCCAATCTGTTCACTGAGCAGGTTGTCATTTTCTTCGAGATCTAATCTGTCATGGTCTATCCGGCTGCAGACCCCAACCCCACCATCAGCACATTCCATATCATCATTCATATTGATCTCATGGTGGTGATGGTGCAGTAAGGAGTCCTTGTGCCGTTCATGCAACTCTCTTAGTTCTGGAGGTGCCATTTGTAGATCAGCTTCCCTCAGACTGCCAAATGTGCCACTGTCAGGAGAGTGTTGGAAGACTGGGTTTGTCTCCATTGTAATAGGGTGCAAGCAGTCACTGGCGTCACTGCCACAGGATACAGCATCCATCGTGTGGTCCTCACAAGATCCGCAACTGCTTGAGCGAGTATCACCGACCGAATCACGATTGCTGCACTGTCGTTCGTCAACACAGTCTTCCGATAATCTGAAACAAAATGAGAAATGTTAGTACTTCACAAATGACAAAAAAAAAAAAAAAAAAAAAAAAAGAAAAAAATTTCCTTTATATATTTGAATAATAATAGCAGCCCTATCACCATTTATAGAAACACAACATTGCAATCAATTTCCTATAGATACCAAACAGACAATTCCTAAGATCAATGGTGGGAAAAAAAAAAGCTTTGAGTGAATAAAGCTAAAGGATCTTGCCAAAGATCATCCTTCTTTGAACAGTGTGGACTGGTGCTACAGCAGAGAACTATACCAAATAACAGAAACACCATCACTTGACGACTAACAACAAGTAAAATGGACGTTCTGTAACTCAAAGAGAAAATAGACAATCAAGATTTAAACATTCAACATGACTTAAAAATAGGTTTGGAAGGAAACCCCCATCAATACTGGAAAGAGCGATAAAAGCCACCAGACTTGAGAAACTTGTTTTCCTAAAAAAGTGTTTAAAGAGAAAGATTTTATAGATTTCAACCGAAAACAGTACTGGCTGCTTGGTCAATGAATGCCTAATATTTCCTTGTAAAGAAATACCTATTACCACCCATTACAATATGTACTCAAATTATCTGGACACCTTGGAACAAGGATATTTGCGGGTGGGGATCCTAATTCTGGATAACTGAATACCTAAAAAAAAAAAAAAAAGAAAAAAAAGTCATTTTCTGAAAGAAATTTAAAATCCATACCATCAAATAACATTTTCAAACATTTTACTTTCTGGTATTTTTCTGTAAGTAAAGCAGACACATTTTTACAGGTAGCTTCTGGTTGAAAGCACAACCAACTGAAACATTTGTCAATTCTTATCAAAATGTGGATTATAGTTTTCTAACCTAAAACAGTGGCACTGGCAGTAAACATTAGAAACTTTTCTTATACAATTGGGTAAACAAGTAACCAAATTTCTGAAACAAAAAAATAGTAGCTGAAGTCAATTGATGGATTCGTTTTTTATGGCTTATCAACCCTTTACAGGTTATTTAAAGCCATAAAATATTTTTTAATTGTAAGTAATTTTGTTTTTGGAGATAATGGTTTTATTGATGCAAGTCTTACTAATTAACCTATAGCTGGGGGAGTAGGTGAGATAACGTTGCCAAGAGTATTTGCTCATATGTAAATATAACGAACTGAACCTGGTGCTCTGATTCAGAGCCATTTTCTATTACACCACCCACACATCCAAGTATACAGCACCTGGTATTCCCAAGTGGTTATCCGTCTAGGTACTGACCAGACTTGATGTCACTTAGCTTTGGTGATCATACAGGTACTGGTGTTTCAATGTAATTTTAAACCAGAGCTATCTGTAATTTTCTAAATAAAGAGCAATACAAAACTTTTGTACATGTGTTTTTCCTGCATTTATCATTGTTGTACATATTTAAAAATGCATATATTAAAAGACGATCCCAGAATATAGTAAAAATTATAGCTTTTAATATTTAGGTGGTCATCCAAGCTTACAGTACCTGATATTCTGTCTAGGTACTGACCAGGTTTGATGTTGCTTAACTTTGGTGATGATATGAGAACCATTGTTTCAATGTGATGTGGCTGTAAGCTTCAGGAATTAAGACTTGGCAAAAAAGAATTTTTTTTTTTTTTTTACAGAATCCACTAGAATAAAAAAAAAAGACGGTTATGCATTGAACTAGTTGTCTGCAAAGCACTATAGATTCTTGACTCAATGATCTAAATCAATACTGATGAAATGCCAAGGTTCAATGTCTGTTCACTCACACTGATACTATAAAGTATCATTGGAATAGATTGAAGAGATGCACAGCAATAGTAAGAAAAAAAACAAAACAAAAAACAAAACAGGATTCAGAACCATTTCTTTTAGGTGCCATGTCCCTTCAGGACATGGTCGATCATAGCCATTCACATTTTCCTGTTCCTTGTAGCGTTTAAGTTTTGTCTATTTGTTATTCATCTGCTCAAGGCCATCAAATATATTACATGCTGCTTTCCTATGTCCTGTGTGTATCAGATTTTCCAAGCCCTCCTTCCTCATTACGTGCCCCAGAATTTTCAACTCCCTTTTCCTAATGTCAAGTTTCCTTTTTGTTCCCATTCTCTCCAAAACCACCTTGTTGTTCACATGTTCAGCCTATGATATCCTCAGCATCCTTCTGTAGAACCACATTTCTGTTGCTTCAAGTCTCTGCTTTATCTTTGAGGAGATTCAGAACACTGAGCCAAAAAGAATAATGGACCAGATATATTCCAGAAGACAACTATCTTTCACCTGCTACCATTTTATAATTTTAGCATTTTTTTTTTTTGTAACCACCTCACAAGAAAAAAAAAAAAGAAAAAAAAAAGAAAAAAGGTAAACTATAGAGGATGCTAAGTGGTGTAATTTAATGCCTAATAAGCAAAAGCACTTTTGGTCCATGGCGAGTTTTCAGGAAAAAAAAAAAAAAAAAACCAGCTATAAGGAAGAAGATAGAGTTCAAATGAAGCCAATTTGTCTTTTATATGGCAGCCAGCCAGCAATAAAAAAAAAAAAAAAAAAAAAAAAAGTCACCAAAACATGCTGTCAGCTGGTGGGGGATAAACCACACTCACAAGATGGGAGCAAAAGGTGTGAAAAAAATTTGAACATTTTTAAAGGGCTTGATATGGAGGTGGATTAAGTGAATTTAGTGAATTCACAGTTTTTTTTTTAACATGTAAGAAGTCCAGACTTTGGCATCAGTTCTTTGATTTATCATGTCTGAACTGTTAGTGAAAAAAAAAAAAAAAAAAAAAATTTAAATAAGTGAATCAATTGGTTTTTCTTTTGTTTTGTTTTTTTATCTTATGATAGGCCTAGCTTTACAGATATAAAATTGTTACTTTTCATAAATTATAAAATAGATAAATAAATTGAAATAATACCGATGCTTTAAGCATATCACATGCATTCCAGTTTTTTCAGAAATATCGAATGGAAGTTTAAAAGAATTTTCAATTTACAAGTTCTTAATGGTAGTAAAACAATGCAATATTTTATTTTTTGTTTAGATATTTGAAGTTTTATTAAACAAAATAGATTAAGAATTTAAAAGTATAACATTTATTTCAGTTTCTAAAAGTGAAACTAATTTTATCAGACTTAATTCTTAGTCTACTATTTTGCTAATAATAATTTCAACTATGTAAAACAAATTAAAAAAAAAACATTGCATTTTTTACATTGTTAAAAGAAAAACAATGTGTGTTTAATGTGGCAATTTTAATTTATGACTCCTCACTTGTTAGAATTCAAATAAATATTTAAAAAATTGATAAATTATGAATTAAAAGTACAATGTGTTTTTTATTTTTATTTTTAAATAAAACAGAGGGTATATAAACAAAAACAAGTTATCTTTCTTTTAATATCATAAACAGTTTTTAAAGTTTTAAAAAAAAGTAGTAATATCTTCATTTTTTACATATCCCCATTTTTATTTAAAAAAAATAAACAATTGTACTTTTATTTTATAATTTATCAGTGAGGAGTTACAAATACCATGATAACAGAAACACCGAAAAAACCTGGCATCATATGGGCATTAGAGTCTGAGAAATGGATAAAAATATTAAAAATTGATGAGTGTACGAATAATTTTGTCGTAGAATACATAAAAAAGGTAAAGGATTAATGTGCATTGTAATATTGTATTCCTTCTGGGGAGGGGCAGCAAAAAACACTAGCTATGCTTATATATATATATATATATATATATATATATATATATATATATATATATACATACACACACACACACACATTGTGAGAATTGGGATCAAATATTGATTAGAAACCGACAATGACAGGATAAGTAGCAAATAGAAAGTGTTTATAAATTTAATGTGCTTTGCTTTTATTTCATCAAAATTTAAAAAAAAAAAAAAAAAATCATGATGAAGCTAAAATAAAAGCAAAACATTAGATTTATAGATGATTCCGATTTGTTCCTTATCCGATCATCCAGTCAATTGCTGAAACCTCCTGATGAATTGAACTAACAATTATGAAATAGTTATGAAAATCTAGAGTTGAGGTGCTCTATATAACATCTATTAGCTAAGTGATAAATTTTATTTGTATTTTTTTATATATATATATATATATATATATATATATATATATATATATATATATATACATACATACATAAACGTGTGTGTGTGTAAACATTGAAGTCAGCACTCAGGTAGATAATTTTTTCATGCTAAACAAACAATCATCAGCCCTGATGATTGCATTTAGCATGAAACAGTTTGTTTTTTGAGTGTTGACTTCAATGTCCACTTTTATATCTATATTTACATACACTATCTGATACTGAGCACTTTCTCCCATAAATATAGCATACTTTTATATATATATATATATATATATATATATATGAGAGAGGGACCCCAACCTCCTTTAAGAAAAAAGAATGAAGCCTCTACTCAAACCTTAGTATCCACTGAAAATAATGCTTGGAGTAATAAAAAATCTTGGATTTAAAAAAAACAAAACTCATTAATTCTTTAGAAATTGGTTATATCAGGTGTATATAGATTTCTAAAAGAAAAAAAAAAGCCTACCAAAAAACAAAAAGTATTTCTTACATAAACTGCTAGTGACCAGAAAGTGTACATAATCATTGATATACATTGTGACCCGGATATACGAGAAACCCGGATATACGAGAAACCCGGATATACGAGAGGTTTTTTCTGGTCCCAAATTAGAGCCTGTGTTAATGTATATAAAATAGACCAAACCCGGATATAAGAGACTTCTTCTCTGGTCCCGACAACTCTCTTATATCCGGGTTACACTGTATATATATATATATATATATATATATATATATATAATCAGGTAATATGAATCAGCAATGAACATCAAGGTATTGTTTGTTAAGCACAAACAAGAAATGCATTATATTGAGAGACATGAGTCATTCTAATACTTCATAATACATGCTTTTT